TTTTAATTCATGAAAACATAGTTTTAGTTCAAAGGGAAATGTATCATGGTGGTATGCAGAAATCATAGTAATATTAAAAGAAAATATTACAACACAAGATTATTAATTCTTATCATATCATAGTTGCCTAATAATGATAATTTAACATAAAGCCAGCAGATGGAACAGTGCTAAAAAATGAAGTGGCTGTGTTCAGTTCACAGTGAGTTAAGGTAAGCTAGAACTGAGAATTTTGATTCATAAGCAATGATGCTCATTATAGATTGGTTATGCAATGCAGATAATCACATTTTTTGGTATGCAGAATATTTGCAAACATATTTGATCAATTTGTATAGAATCACACATTTAATGAATGATGACTACGTAGATTTCCAAATCGTACAATTCTCTGCTGATCAGAAAGATCTGCACACAGATAAAAAATCAGCAGTTCTGTCCTCCTGCTTCCATTGTCATTATACCACAGAGGCCAGGGGTTAGCCTTATCTCACTTGCCACCAGCTGGGAAAATCCCAGACCAACACTTTTTCCTTCAATAACTGTAGTTTGCAGTGTTTCTGTAAAGGTCACAGTCTGCCTATGGACATAAGAATGTCTTCTGATCCATGCCTAATCTTCCAGAACACAGATCATATCATTCCTATAGCCATGTAAGATTTTTTTTTTTTTTAATAATGTAAAGACCTCTCCTCTCCATTCTGAAGAAATGCAAATAGAGATAGGAATTGCATCAATGTCCTTGAAGTTAATCTCTGGATTTGGCAGGCGAGGGAAGGAGGGGGGGGGGTTAAAGGATTTGCAGTCATTTACAGAAATAATGCTTATTTCCAGTAAACTGAGTTAGTTCTGTTATCTCAATGCCTCTTTGTTGGTATTTCAACACTAGGAAGGGAATATTTGGCTTAGAGGTTGATTATAGGACAGCATGATTAAATAAAGGAAAAGAGCAAACACATAAACAAAGGGGAAAGTACAGCACAGTCATGGCTTTGATTGGTCTAAAGATAAGTTGGCTACTAGTTCTAAAATACAGTGTTCCCTGCATTACTACACCTTTTTTAAAAAAAAAAAAAAAAAAAAAAGAGTATGTGCTATAAGGTCCTAAAATACCAAATCTGTCTTTATTCTAATGACAATGTAGCACACAGTATCTACCACATTTTTATTAACCGGATCCCACCTGCCGTATAGTAGAATGAAGGTTGGGCAGGACCGCTCTTGTTCTGGGAGGACGTCATATGATGTCCTCCCATTCTTGCCACAACGAAGCGATCGGTGGCGAGCTGTGTCTCTTGCACACAGAGCATCACCAATCGAGCCTATGGCAGTGGCTCTTTACCATGTGATTGGCTGTGTCCAATTGTAGCCGATCACAAATGTAAACAATGACTTGTAACTCACTGTTACTAGCTTCTTCTCCTCACACACTGATCCTATGTGAAGAGAAGAGAGCCAGGGAACAATGAGGTACCAATCTATCTGTCATTACTGTGCACACCACTCCAGAATAAAAAGTACCTGTCACACATCACTCATCAGCAGTGCATCTGACTCCCATTAGCAGTGTTACTGCTGGTTATCAGTGCTCATCAGTGTTCCTGTCACCCATCAGCAATTTTGCTGTTGCCCATTAATAGTGTTCCTGTCGCCCATCAGTGCCCATCAGTGCCTTTGGCATCCATTAGCAGTGTACTTGTCATCCATCAGTGCCCGTCACCAGTGTTCTTGTTGCCCATCAGTGCCTATCAGCAGTGTACCTGTTGCCCATTAGTGCCCATCAGCAGTGTACCTGTCCCCCATCAGTGCCTATCAGCAGTGTACCCATCCCACAGATGCCCATCACCAGAGTATATGTCCTACAGCCACCAATCAGCAGAATACCCATCACACAGCCACAATTAGCAGAGTATCTGTCCTACAGCTACCCATCAGCAGAGTACCCATCACACAGCTGCCCATCAGCAGAGTACCCATCCTACAGCTGCCCATCAGCCCAGTACCCATCACACAGCGACCATCAGCAGTCTACCTGTCCCAGTATAACAAGAGCCAGACATGGCAAAAACATTTTACACTAGTGATGAGGCATTTCATATCCTCAGTATGACAGGTGAGAGCAGCAGGGTGTTTTTAAACATCTGATGCCAATTTGGCGTACATACCTGTTGAAAGTAGTGCATCAGTGACTGAAATAGAGGGGGAATAAAGAATAAGACGCTCTGAAAACCAGGCAAGCACCAGCAGCATCATATATCACAATGGTCAATCGACAAATGCCAACAGTGCTAGACCCCAGGATGAAAGGCCCAGTACCAGTACTGTACTATCACATCAGACCCCAAGAATCAGGTTCCAAACATATCTTTCAGATGCTCTAGCAAACCCATTATGGCTGCCCTCCAATTCAGGAACAACAAGTATTCCCCCCTTCACCACACAGCCAGGTGTGCAGGCCAACAATGAACATTTTTCATAAATGCCTGACAGTCTACTTGACTTTATTGTGGACCAGACCAATCTTTTTGTCCAACAATTTATTTGCAAACAACCCCAGTTCTTCCTATGCCCGACCTTTTGAATTGAGACGTCACGCAGTGGAGGTGTTCAAGTTATTTTTGGGCCTCACCATTAACATGGGGCTTACAAAAAAATGAAGGACATGCTTACTGGTCCACAAACCCCATCCACCACATGCCCATTTATTCTGCTGTAATACCCAAGTCACTCTATGAGATGATCATGCTCTTCCTTCATTTCAGTGACAATACCCAGTGCCCTCCCCGAGATCATCCAGGCTATGATAAATTACGGAAAATTTTCACACTTTTTAATTTTTGCTCCAAGAGATTTTCTGAAGTTTATGTCCCTTAGCAAAACATTAGTGTGGATGAAATCCTTGTCCACTTCACTCTCTGGCTGGGAATTAAGCAATACATTCCAAGCAAAAGGGCCAGGTATGGAATAAAACTCTACCAACCTACATCGGCACAAGTGTAAAAATTGTCTGGGACCTGGCATTTCTGCTTTTCAGAAAAGTTTAGCTCATCTACCTAGATAACTTCTTTACAAGTCTTGTTTATGGACCACATTCCTGCCTGCTTCCTGGACTAATGCTTTCCTCAAACCACAAGTAATCTTTTGTTTAACCTTTTTTCATCTTCCTATACCACCTGGCCAATGAACATAGGATTGCGATATGGGGGCAACCACATACCAGTAGGTTCAGCTTACTTGGCTTTTAGGAACAGAAACTGCTGTAGGTGAAGCTACACTATGCTATATCCACTGACCACCCTTACAGAGGCAACCATTACAGTACTTTATTTTCTATACAGTGTTTGTTGATTTTGTGTTACACAGCTTGCAATGTTCATAATCTGTTCAGACATTGAAAATGTATCCCCATAATCAGAAGGAGTAGCAGAATGTATTTTAAGGTGTTTGGTATGTCCATGCTGTTTCTAAGAAATATCTTATAGACTGACTTTGCATTAAATAAATACATTTTCATTTTCTAACCACATATTCCAAAAACTTAAGGAAATGTTCAAAAGACTAAATATGCCTCTTAGTAAATATATTGTGGTGTTTGCTTTCAAAAATGGGTTAATTTTGTGGGTGTTTCCACTATCCTGCTGCTCATGGACCTCCTGAAGGTGGTACTTGGATATTGGACCTCTGTATTTGGCCACTCTGTAGAAAAGTCTCACATATGTGGCATTGCCATACTCAGGATGAGTAGAAGAATGTATTTTTTGGGTGTCATTCTTGGTATGTACAGTATATGCTATGTGTTAGAAATATCTTATAAATTGACAACATTGTGTAAACAAAATGCATTTTCATTTGCTTTCCACATTTTCAAAAATGTGTTTTGGGGTGTAATTGCAAGTATGTCTTTGCCGTGTGTGAGAAATAACTTGTTAATAATAAAATTGTGTGTAAAAAAATATTTAATGTCTTAATTTTACAAAGAATTGTGAGAAAAAAATTACAATTTCAAAAAATTTACAATGCATCTTACTAAATACCTTGGACGGACTGTCTACTTTCCAAAAAGGATCATTTGGGGAGTTTTTGTACTGTCCTAACAAGAAATAAGATAGGCAGTCAGTGAATCAGGATTGATCCATTTACGATGATACGTAGCATAGCTTGTAGACTCTATAACTTTCATACAGGCTAAATAATAGTGACAAAAGTTGGAAGTGACAAAATGCATCGAGACTTGGCTGTGAGGCGACTGGATGTGACGTCAGTACCTGGCATGTGGCAATGCAATCTGAGAGGTCTGGCGGTCATTTTTTGCCTTTGGTTTGTTGACTGGTGCTGCCAGTAAAGTCCCACACACAGGATTTTCCTTTATCGGTCTTGTATTTAGGGATGATGGCAGCTATAGACCCCTCTTACCATATTTTTTACAACGGCAGTGGTAAGATAGTTTACCATATTACCACACATGACGGCTGTCCACATAAACTTAAGATTGCATTTTAATTTCTTTTACCATGTGAGTGGCATTTCACTTTTAAATAAAGTATTTTGTACTGGTTACTGTACCATTGGAGGTTTATTTTTTATTTTTCTATGGTGATGATTAGAGATGAGCGAATTGAACCTGGCAAAGTCGAATTCGTTTCGAATATTAGGAAAAATTCGATTCGCGTCGAATCCGAATATTAGCAAACTTCGGATGCACGAATCGAATTTTCCCCGATCCGCCGATTTTCATCCCTTCTACAGCCGGCAAAAAGTGTCCCTGCAGAGAGCTCCGCTATTTCTGACAGTTCTCTGACAGTTCCTTCACATTTACAGCAGTTGAAACATTGTATCTATTTGTTTCTATTTAGGATACAGATGTTTTTATTCAGAAACAAATAGATATAAGTTTCAACCGCTGTAAATGTGAAGGAACTGTCAGAGAACTGTCAGAAATAGCGGAGCTCTCTGCAGATACACTTTTTGCTGGAATGGAATTCTTCTTCATCCTCATCCTACTTCTTCTTCTTCTTCTTCATCCCTCATCCTACTTCTTCTTCTTCTTCATCCTCATCCTACTTCTTCTTCTTCTTCATCCTCATCCTTCTTCTTCTTCTTCTTCTTCTTCATCCTCATCCTTCTTCTTCTTCTTCTTCATCCTCATCCTTCTTCTTCTTCTTCTTCTTCATCCTCATCCTACTTCTTCTTCTTCTTCATCCTCATCCTACTTCTTCTTCTTCTTCTTCTTCTTGCCATGGGCCCCTGTACCGCCTCCTCATGCTGCTGCCAGGTCCAGAGTGTGTCATGGGTCCCTGTACGGCCTCCCATCTGCCATGTGCCACTTTCAGGTCTCCTCACACTGCTGGTGGGTTCCATTTTGTCATAGGGTGCTGTATGGCCTCCCATTGCTGCGCTGCCTCCACCGCCACACTGTGGCTCCACACTCTGGTTTTGGCCCCGTGACTGCCCAAATGAGTGAAGTGTGCGGTGATTCTAAGATCGACGGCACTCATCTGCATGTCATACTGACTGACAGTATTATTTCTCTTCCCCAGCAGGCTCCAAGGGCATTTAAATTAAAGGTACAGTGTTCTGCACTAATATAAAGGCTCTCTGAAGCCTAGAAACCCTTTTTATAAGTTAAATTCGCAGCGAATAAATTCGCATCGAATCAAATTTATTCCACAAATTCGGCGAATCAGCCGAATCGAATTTTTGAATAATTCGCTCATCTCTAGTGATGATACTCTATCTTTTATACAGAGATAGATATTGGTTTTTGTTTAAACATGTACAATAAACAAGCATATTCTCTACAATGCTCATATCCTCAAATAAAACGTAACCATAATTCAATAAAGTGTCCTTTGTGCTTCATTGAAGCCTCTCTGCGCATATTAACTGTCCATGCTCGAAAAAATGCTCCATTTCCAACAATCAATGCCATAGTGTTCCCAGAATCCTCCACCATAAACACAGAACACTCACCAGATTTATATGACTACCTATCACAGAGTCATACAACACATAGTATCATGAATAACCACTGTCAGCCTTCTTCTTGAGCCAGCTGCACTCTTTCCTTTTAAATGTCTCACACAACATGTAGGGAGAGATGGAGGGAGGCTACCATAGTGTGAAATCTTTCAAACCTTTTATTTATAAAAAAATAATTTCCACAATGCCCGCTCACATTGTTAGGTGCATACCCTTGCACCAGGATAAAAATGCATGTTACATCATAAGCATTCCTGCCCTTTCAGGTATGCATTTCTCTTAAGAAGCCGTTCCCCGCCCCCTCAACTCCCTATTTAGATGGCCGGCCCTGTGGCCAATCAGGTCTGATGAAGGAGCCCCTTCCTGCGGCATCATGTTCCCGTAGTGATGTAACTTCCGCCCAGTGGCCATCTTGCATTCCAGCCTGGTTCCACACACGAGACACAGCCTGTACACGCTGCAGAGGACTAGATGTGAGTCAGGAGACCTGGCTTTCACCACAGCCGCAGCTTTTCTGGATGACGTCTCTATGTACCCATGCCTGCTGTCAGGGATCCCGGTGTCCGGGATCCCGGTCATCGCAGCGGTACGCGAATCCGCGCATGCGCGGATCGCCCAGGCGCATCAGCGGTCGGGCAGTAGGAACTGGGCTTCCACGGCGGCAATTGCGGCCACGCATGCACACTCATGCACACGGGCACGCGTCTGGCACCAATGACGGTGCAGGGCGTGCTATTTAAACTGGCCAGGCAATGTCCTCATTGCCGCAAGGTCTTGTTTCTGTTCCTGTGTTCCTGTTAGTACGTTTCCTTGTTGCCAAACTCTGCCTGTTCTGATTTATGCTGACCCTCTTCTGCTCTGACTCCGGCTCGTCCCTGACCATTCCTCTGCCTATAGTTGCTATTGTTTTGGACCCTCTGTTACTGAAGCCGGCGTGTGACCTGACTACTCTCTGCCTGCTGATTGGTACCGCACCTGTCCCCACTGTTACTGACCCGGCTAGTCTGACCTCGCTCACTCCAAGCAGTCATCCATCCCGCTCGGATCGGGACCTGTCAGCCCCTTCACAGTAGGCTTATCCCGGGCACATACCCTCAGCGGGACCCCTCTACCATCGCCGGGGGTGCCCAGGGGTTTGACCTGGTTCTAGTCTTGCACCAAGTCCATCCCCACCATCAGGGGCTCTGGTGAAAAGGCAGACTGGGACTTAGACTCCGCGTCCTGGGAAATCCTGTGCTGTGGACCACTAGAGATCCCGCTGGGCGGAGCCTGACACCTTCTAACTACTTACCTCTTGTGAGTTACATACCATTGTGTGCAATAAATGATTGTATAATACTGCACTTAGTCTGTCACCCCTCTCTCTCCTCTTAGAGTCAATAACTAAAAACCTTCAAACTTCGTATGGGCTTCAGATTAGCACAACAGTGCGCAGAGAGCTTCATGGAATGTGTTTTGATGGCTGAGTAGCTACAGTGGGGATCGAAAGTTTGGGCACCCCAGCTAAAAATTTGTATTAATGTGCATAAAGAAGCCAAGGAAAGATGGAAAAATCTCCAAAAGGCATCAAATTACAGATTAGACATTCCTATAATATGTCAACAAAAGTTAGATTTTATTTCCATCATTTACACTTTCAAAATAACAGAAAACAAAAAAATGGCGTCTGCAAAAGTTTGGGCACCCTGCAGAATTTATAGCATGCAATGCCCCCTTTGCCAAGCTGAGACCTGCCAGTGTCATGGATTGTTCTCAATCATCGTCTGGGAAGACCAGGTGATGTCAATGTCAAAGGTTTTAAATGCCCAGACTCATCTGACCTTGCCCCAACAATCAGCACCATGGGTTCTTCTAAGCAGTTGTCTAGAAAACTGAAACTGAAAATAGTTGACGCTCACAAAGCTGGAGAAGGCTATAAGAAGATAGCAAAGCGTTTTCAGATGTCAATATCCTCTGTTCGGAATGTAATTAAGAAATGGCAGTCATCAGGAACAGTGGAAGTTAAAGCAAGATCTGGAAGACCAAGAAAAATATCAGACAGAACAGCTCGCAGGATTGTGAGAAAAATAATTCAAAACCCACGTTTGACTGCAAGATCCCTCCAGAAAGATCTGGCAGACACTGGAGTTGTGGTACACTATTCTACTATAAAGAAATACTTGTACAAATATGGTCTTCATGGAAGAGTCATCAGAAGAAAACCTCTTCTACGTCCTCACCACAAAAATCATCGTTTGAACTTTGCAAATGAACATATAGACAAGCCTGATGCATTTTGGAAACAAGTTCTGTGGACCGATGAGGTTAATGATCCTAAACACACCCTGAAATCCACGGGGGATTACATCAAGAGGCGTAAACTGAAGGTTTTGCCATGGCCTTCACAATCTCCTGACTTCAACATAATTGAAAATCTATGGATAGACCTTGAAAGAGCAGTGCGTGACAGACAGCCCAGAAATCTCAAAGAACTGGAAGACTTTTGTAAGGAAGAATGGGCAAAGATACCTCAAACAAGAACTGAAAGACTCTTGGCTGGCTACAAAAAGCGTTTACAAGCTGTGATACTTGCCAAAGGGGGCAGTACAAGATATTAACTCTGCAGGGTGCCCAAACTTTTGCAGACGCCATTTTTTTGTTTTCTGTTATTTTGAAAGTGTAAATGATGGAAATAAAATCTAACTTTTGTTGACATATTATAAGAATGTCTAATCTGTAATTTGATGCCTTTTGGAGATTTTTCCATCTTTCCTTGGCTTCTTTATGCACATTAATACAAATTTTTAGCTGGGGTGCCCAAACTTTCGATCCCCACTGTACATCCAAGCCTTACATCACCAAGTGCAATGCAAAGGGTCAGATGCAGTGGTGTAAAGCATGCCACTACTGGACTCTAGAGCAGTGGAGACATGTTCTCTGAAGTGATGAATCACGCTTATCTGGCTGGAAATCTGCTGGACGTGTCTGGGTTTGGCGGTTGCAATAGAACGGTACTTGCCTGACTGCATTGTGCCATGTGTAAAATTTGGTGGAGGGGGGATTATGGTGTAGGGTTGTTTTTCAGGGGGTAGGCTTGGCCCCTTAGTTCCAATGAAGGGAACTCTTAAGGCGTCAGCATACCAAGACAATTTGGACAATTTCATACTTCCAACTTTGCGGAAACAGTTTGAGGATGGTCCTTTCCTGTTCCAACATGACAGCGCACCAGTGCACAAAGCACGGTTCATAAAGACATGGATGAGCAAGCTTGGGGTGGAGAAACTTGACTGGCCTGCAGAGATTCCTGACCTCAACCCGATAAAGAGCGGAGACAGGCCTTCTCATCCAACATCAGTGCCTGACCTCACAAATGAGCTTCGGTAAGAATGGTCAAACATTCCCATAGACACACTCCTAAACCTTGTGGACAGCATTCCCAGAAAAGTTGAAGCTGTTATAGCTGCAAAGGTTGGACCACATTGTCATGTTTCACATGACTGTCATATTGACTGTCATATGCCTTTAAGTGTTTCTGTATTTTGTTTCTGCTCCTCCCTTTCCTTTGGTTTAGTTAATGCTGTATAGATAGCCCACCCCTTTTCCCAGTAAGGCATTGCAGCAAGCCTCATGTCATGAAATAGAGCACATTATGATCTTTTGACCTATCGAATGTTCATTGTTGTAAGATTCTCTCAGTTTATGGAATAAACTTCACAAGATCTACAAGATGTCTTATCGATTGAGTCACTGACTGTGGTATCCAACTGAGGTTGAAGTTATCGCTATCTCATCATAACTGTAAGTTACAGAGATCACACTATCAATGCTTAGATTGGACAGACAGAACACGTCATTATTGAACCCTAAGGACTAAGACAGGGATGCCATTAACGTTCTTGTGCGTGTAAAAGCAGGCATCCCAATACTATTGGCAATATATTTTGTGTGTGTGTGTGTCTGTGTGTGTGTGTATATATATATATATATATATATATATATATATATATAAGATCAATATTAGTAGTGATATACATTAAAGAAACTAAGAAAAACTATTGATTATGCAACCCTATTTGCTTCAATCACGGGTTGAAAAACAGAAAATTTCTTGATTTCCCCCATCAACACTGACTGAATCCCTCCATCCCTCCCACTGAATCCCTACTTCCATCCCTGCAATAGTATTCTGACAGTGGGAGGTTTCCCAGCCAGCATACAATGATCACTGCCAGCGCCTATAGCCGCCTGTAAGCTGCATGTGGGGTGGTAGGCGGGTGACACTTCCTACATGTTTCCCTCCTCATTGGGCATAAAGTGTGAGTCATATATGAGGTCTAACTGGGGGTGAGTTCTTCAGGGCTACACTAAGCACCTTGGATGGGTCATATGGGGTACCTTTGCTTTGTGATGTACACTGTGTACATTTGAACCATTAAACCGAACTTCAGTTGACTCTCTCTAGCCCTGTTTCAAT